CCCCCCCCCCCGCGCCTGCTCCCCGTGACGACGCGCACACAATGGCAACCACAGCTGAAAGACACCAGGCCGGGGCCGCGGTGTCAGACAACTCCCAGCTCTAGCGCCGTTGCTGGCGGGCCTGTGTTGCATGAGGTCTGGGTTTTCGGGCTCTGAATAGTCAAGCTCCCACTCGGTTTTCCAGCTAGATTCCAGGCTAGTGTCTCTCTCGAGAAATGGAGAATCTAACCCTGGGAAAAGTCCCAAACTTGACACCCTCCTGCTCCAGCATCCAAAACTTCAAACGGCACCAAAGGGATTTTCTTCCAGCTGGCTTGGTGTGTCCATCTCCTCAATACCTAATCAACCCACACTTAACGAGCGCCGCTCATGGCGTCAGCCCGCACAACGTGGAAGGTATGAAGGGACTCCACAAGTCGAGGCATTAAAGCCTAAACTGGCCTTCAGTTTTCCTCACCCCAAGCACTTGGGGTCTCAAACTGGATATCAATGCTACATTTGCAGCCTGCAATTTGGATCCTGGTGGGGGGCTGGGTTGCCCAGGAGGGGCCCAGCCGGAGGCAGAAGGGACAGCTGTGGTCGTGAGGCGGTGGCATTACTTGCAAGTGCCAAAGTAGCTAGGATCTGCAGTGCTGGTACTCACGGGCCAACCGGCAGGCAAGAAGCCTTGCTAAGAAACCTGCTAGAGGGACGGAGCCTCCAGGCCTGGTGCCACCCCGCACACACAACTCCCAGGCTGAAGCCAGTTAACCCACACCCCCTACCTGCAAGAAAGCATCAAATGTGCTCTGGTCTCCCACAAGGTGCGCCAGGTAGGACACGAAGCAGTAGCCTTTCTCGTAGGGGGTTTCGTTGTACGTGTCATCAGGATTAACACCTAGAGGGTCCAAGACGGGAGAGGGCCAGAGCTTGGCGAATGAGACGGCCAATTGAAAACAAAGCGCTCCACTTCCTTAGGTTGCCGTTCTCAGCACCAGAAGCGCCCCCCGCCCCTACGGCCCCTCCACCCTGAGTCCGATCCAAACCACGCCGCGTCATGCCGGGAACGCTACGAAGAGTGAACTTTGCCCCTGCTCACCCACTGCCTCTCGCCCCGCCAACCTCCTCCTGGAGACCACCCGCAATCCAAGAGGACACAAGAGTAAGGAGCAAGCTGAGGATGCAGCCGAACTGCTATTAGAAACGCCCTTTTCAGCCTGGCTGACGACCGGCCGAGATTTCAGATTTTCTTGCAGAGTTTGAAGGAAATAAATTTTAACAAGGTCCTCTTGTTTGTTTGCCTAGAACTCTGCCGGGGCTGGGCTCCCAAAACCTCAGACTTTATGGACGCTTGTTAAAGTTTTCACGAGGGCTTTAACTTCCTGAAAACTAGCACGCCGGCTTGCAAAGGGAAAGCAAAAACACGGAGGCTGTTTTGCTCTCCGCATGATCCATCAACAGCTGCCCGTGATGAAACACTCCATCGCTTAGCACTACGCATCTCGGGGCGACTCAAAGCGTTTGCCCAATGCGAGAGCGAAGCCATGGCACGGAAACCCGGGTGCCTAACGTTTAAGGAACCCGCGTAACAAAGGCCTGATTTTCAGAATCGCTGAGCGCCCAACAGCTGCCGGGACATCAACAGGAGCTGAAAGCCTTCAGAAAACATCGCTGAGCGCCCAACAGCTGCCGGGACGTCAACAGGAGCTGAAAGCCTTCGGAAAACCCAGGGCACGTACTTCAATGCCTAACCTGAGACCTCCACTGTAAGTGCCGGCCTGTTGCTAGCCTGTTCCTTTGAACTTGCCCTTGGCATACAAACTAACCGCTAAGGGCTGGACTTTGATCACACGTCTGGTACTGTTTAACTAACACAATTATTAATAAGTGGCGTGAATTTTAAACAGCAGCAAGGCGACTAGAATAGCCCAATGCACGTAGGCTAGCCATCCTGCCGGCAATCCATCTGCCGCTTTATGGTCTATTCTCGGCCCATCCCCTAGCGCTCATCCTGTAGATGCAGTTTTATTCCAAGCCATTACGGGGTCAAATGCACCAGTAATAAGGACCCCGCCCATGGTCCCAGAGACCTGGCACTCGGCAGTGGGGTATTGGAGACAGCACGGACCTGGCTCGATTTTCACCCGGAGCTTGTTGAGGGGGTGATCTTCTCCGGTGTTGTCCATGTGCTGGCGCAGCAGGGCCCTTCCCGTGGCAGCCTCCAGGCAGGTGTAAGCGGCACCTGAGGACAAGACGACAGGGGCCTGGCAATGAGACGCTGCACGGCCCAGCAGAGCCGGGGAGGAAGGCAAGCTGCCCTCTCCGGTTCCTTTGGGACAGCTCCTACTTGAAAGGCAAGCAAAAGGGCAAAGCATTTTGACACACGCGTGGAAACGCGCGCACGCCAGTCACGCCACACGGTCCCAGCCGCGGGAACTCTGGAACCATCTCCGGTAGGTCGTCAGATTTCTGAACACGGGAGCCACGCGGCGGGGAAACGTGGGTTTGTGCCCACGTGGCTTCAATCTTTTTGGGTGCACAAATGAAAGTACCATTGAGCTCGTCAGTGGTGGTTTCATCAGCCCATCGCAGGGGCGAAGGTCACAATTTTCAAGCGTTTTCTTTACTCCTCTTTTTGCCTTGGAAATCCCAGGAATAAGAAGTGTGGTCTGACCTAGTCTTGGTGGAGGGCTTGGCTCGCAGAGGATACAGATGAAGGGGGAGTTGAATCTTTAGGAGACACACTAAGACTTTAGTGTGCTCACCTAGCCTGACCTTCTGCACATCGCAGGCCCCGACCTTCACCCCCCCACTCACCCGGCTATAGGCCCCGAGCCACCAGCTAAGAGGCTGCCGTCCTCGAATCGTGATTTAAAGACGTCAAATTACAGAGACTCCACCCCCATGCTGCAGAGCCAGGCAAACCCCCCCACTCCCAGGGTCTCTGCCCATCTAGATCACAAGGGAATTCAGTTAAGACCCCAGCATGACAATTTACATGGCATTTGAGTTAAAGGGTGTTAACTAACGAATCTGAATACAAACATCCCAGCCCATCGTAGCCGGGTTTTACTGCCTGGCTCTCCCCTGCCACACACAAACAGCCCATAAAAGATACAACTGGAATTTCTACTCTATAAAACGCTATAAAGATCCTCTTTAAAAAACAAACACGCACCCACCAGATGGTCCAACCCCTACCTGCCCCCATCACCCCACGCGACCGTGTCACATCTCAGCTATTTTAGGAGCTAGTGCAGATCCCCAGACACTGCCAGGAAACGAGTCAAGCCACAAACGTAGGTCCCGGCCCCTGATCTGCGTGGCTGGACCCAGATATCGGCTCTTGGCCTCTGGCAGGGCATGACTCCACCCAAAAGGTGGGTGGCAGGACTAGGTCCTTGCTGCCTGTCCTCGTAGCCAAGGCCAGGGGCTGGCGCCGGGCTGGGCGCTCACCGTAGACGACCGTGGAGATCCGCCTCTGCGCGAACATGGTGAAGCCCTCGTTCAGCCAGAACTCGCCCCAGTTGGCGTTGGTGACCAGGTTGCCGAACCAGCTGTGGGAGATCTCGTGGATGATGACGTCCACCAGGGAGCGGTCTCCAGCCAAGAGGCAGGGGGTCACGAAGGTGATGCAGGGGTTCTCCATCCCGCCGAAGGGGAAAGAGGGCGGCATGAAGAGAACGTCGTATCTGGGGAAGGAAGGCAGAGCGCTCAGGAAGGAACCGCCTGAGCCCGCCGGCGGGAGAGCACCCGGACGACGACTCCCCCAGCCGTACTGGGGGAAGCCTCAGGGAGGCGCCGGAAGGGACCAAAGCTGCCAGAGCATCCCAGTGACTTCCAGCGAGGTGAGCCGTACCTGCCCCACACGTACGGCCCAAAGAGCTTCTCCCCGACCACCAGGAACTCTTCAATGACCCCATCGTACTCCTTCTTGGCGGCCTCAATCAGACACGGCTCAGCCCACACGCGACTCCTACGGAGAGCACAGAAACAGTCCTGAGGGCAACAAACCAGCCCCGGCCTCGTGAAGGGCGACGGTGCGGCGAGCCAGGAGGGTCTGCGCACGTCTGCTCCACCACCTCAGTGACTCTGGTTTGCAGGGAGAACCCCAGCACGGTGACACCGACGCGACACAACGTGCTGCTGTATCGCCAGAGTCAAGGCAAAAACTCACACACGGTCCCTCCCAGCCACCTGCGATCTGATCTTACGAGCTCACAGCTTCTAGATGGAGACGCGGCCGTGGGGCGCGTCAGGTTCCTTAGTCACTCTGAAGCTTGCAGGCTTCATGCAGTGTGAAAGATGGTTATTGGAAGCACATGGCTTCCAGCAGGCTCTGGCCACGGAGGAACGCCAGGAGACATGGGAGGGGGACCTGCCGGCCCTCGTAGCCAAGGCCAGGGGCTGGCGCCGGGCTGGGCGCTCACCGTAGACGACCGTGGAGATCCGCCTCTGCGCGAACATGGTGAAGCCCTCGTTCAGCCAGAACTCGCCCCAGTTGGCGTTGGTGACCAGGTTGCCGAACCAGCTGTGGGAGATCTCGTGGATGATGACGTCCACCAGGGAGCGGTCTCCAGCCAAGAGGCAGGGGGTCACGAAGGTGATGCAGGGGTTCTCCATCCCGCCGAAGGGGAAAGAGGGCGGCATGAAGAGAACGTCGTATCTGGGGAAGGAAGGCAGAGCGCTCAGGAAGGAACCGCCTGAGCCCGCCGGCGGGAGAGCACCCGGACGACGACTCCCCCAGCCGTACTGGGGGAAGCCTCAGGGAGGCGCCGGAAGGGACCAAAGCTGCCAGAGCATCCCAGTGACTTCCAGCGAGGTGAGCCGTACCTGCCCCACACGTACGGCCCAAAGAGCTTCTCCCCGACCACCAGGAACTCTTCAATGACCCCATCGTACTCCTTCTTGGCGGCCTCAATCAGACACGGCTCAGCCCACACGCGACTCCTACGGAGAGCACAGAAACAGTCCTGAGGGCAACAAACCAGCCCCGGCCTCGTGAAGGGCGACGGTGCGGCGAGCCAGGAGGGTCTGCGCACGTCTGCTCCACCACCTCAGTGACTCTGGTTTGCAGGGAGAACCCCAGCACGGTGACACCGACGCGACACAACGTGCTGCTGTATCGCCAGAGTCAAGGCAAAAACTCACACACGGTCCCTCCCAGCCACCTGCGATCTGATCTTACGAGCTCACAGCTTCTAGATGGAGACGCGGCCGTGGGGCGCGTCAGGTTCCTTAGTCACTCTGAAGCTTGCAGGCTTCATGCAGTGTGAAAGATGGTTATTGGAAGCACATGGCTTCCCGCAGCCTCTAGCCACGGAGGACGGCCAGGAGACATGGGAGGGAGAAGTTGGGAAAATCCAAGTGATGTTTCAAAACCACTTCACTTACGGTCAAGCTCTTCAAAGGAGACCCAGTCCCCCCCACTCCCCCCATTTCTCTGGCTCAGTCCTCACCTCCCTGCCTCCTCCTTCATCCAAAGCATTGTAGATTTAATTGCCCCCACCCCGCAGCGCGAGAGCAGCCTCTGGAGAATTTGCCCCACTCCGAGGCCGCCTCCACACACTCCAGATGTCTGTCTGTGGCGATGTAACTAGATCAGCACCATCTCCCCTAGTGTGGGCGCAGCTCTACCAACGTCAAGTGTTGATCCATACAGGAAGGGAAATAAGCTGTATTGGTAAAAATGCTCTTAAAATCATGCCCTCACACCGCAAAATCTGAGCAGAGATCAGCCCTAGAAAAAAGCCTTTCCCTAGGAGCACTTCTCCTTTAGCCACCTCTCAGCCGCCACACTCTCTGTTGGGTTGCTGTCACAGCCCAACGAAGGACCTTTTGGACAATGCATGTAAGTTTGCTCTGACAGCCGTGATGGGGAACAGAGGACCGGCTGCTGGCTTGTCAGTATCAGCTTCCCTTTGCCCAGTGTGTTGCGTAAAACTTTTTTTTTTTTTTTTTCCAACACTCTTTTGCCTGGGAACCCAAGTTAGATTCAGCAGCCTCGCCACCCGCCTCGCCAACGGCTCAGGTTTTTCGAAAGCCGACACCCTCCCGGCAGCAGCTTTCACTTCTCGTTAAGTCGCCACGATCTGGGGATTTGCAGCAGGGCTTTGTCACAGCTTCAGCGAGCTTGGTGATTTATCCCGCTTGGCCTCTGGTGGTTTATGGCTGGGTGTGCTAGAGCATCCTACCTGCTCCAATCCCATTTGAAAAATGCACCGGCCCACCGCTGTATACAGCGACACAGAAATACTGATCTCCAGGACTGTCCTGAACCCCCGCCCCCCTTGCCTCGGCACAGCTGTCTGGTCTGGAGGCTACGATCTCTGCAGGAAGCAGGGGGACTTGGAGCCTGGGAAGTAGCCTTTAGCTGAGTGTGCAGAACTGGGAAGTCTTAACAGTTCGTGAGCTTTAAACCAAAGAGGAATCAAGGTCTGGCCATAAAAGAAGCTAATGAGATATTTATTGCATGTGCTGTATGTCTAATCTTTAGCCCTTAATAACGAGGATTGTGCAAGGGTGAGGGTCACACTCAATGACCTTTCCTGGCCCTAAAAGATCCACGAATCTGAGTTAAGGAGCTGGAAAAAATGAGAGAGGCATTAAGCAGGAGCAGCAAGACTCCTGTATGCCCAAGACCCGACAGTAAACAGGCTTTCGAGCCCTCTGCACAGGTGACTTTGGGGAACACGTTCAAAGGACAACAGGCGCAGGAGTGCCATTCGGCAGCCCCGCGCGGACGCTGCAGTCCCCTCCGCCCAGCACGAATGAAAAAAGCTCGTGCAGGACGAGGACTAAGGGGTGGCTCGTCCCCAGATAATCTAGGGCCCGCTGGAAAACACAGCTGCGCTAACACAGGCAGGAGGGTGGAATTTGCTACTGCTGTGCAGACGAACAGACAACACCAGCGACCAGCAGAGCTGCAACCAAAGGTCAGATTTTGACCCAGACTGATAGTAGCAAAACTCAGGGTGCATTCTGGTGGGACAGAGCGCGGCCTGCTCCCAGACAGAGAGTGTGGAAAAGGTGATGGCCGGAGGATACCACAGTACAAGGGAGCTTAGCACGTGCCAGAGGGGTTACAACAATTTGCACAGTGAGGGGCTGAATCAAACTGTAACCACAGGATCTAACGGAAACCTTGTCAGGCTAGGAGGGGCCGCAGCACCCCCCGCATCCCTCGTCCTGCACCTCTGGCGCATGCTAGCCATGGCTGGCGTGAAGAGTGGTGCCGGTGCAAGGGCGCCCCGCGAGCCAGGGGATGGAGAGAAGATACGCTCCATGGTGGGGAGGCAAAGCTTCCCACCGACGCAACAGGCTTCGCTGCCAGGGGACCTCCCGCCGCCAGCCCCC